AGTCGATGATTTCCGATTAAGGAGTATAGTTGATGAGTCCCTATGCTTTACTTGAGAGTTTCTCGAGTCGGAAAATTGGGAATGTCATGTTGCTTTGAGTCAAGCCTTATGTTTGTGCATAAGGGTTGCGTTCGACTCGTGGAGTCGATATCATGAGAGTGTGAACTTGATGGTGTCGTGATTTATGTATGTGGTACCGTGTCGTTGTCTCTGATAGAGACACATGGATGTGATGAAATCGTGAGCAAGTTATCAGTCTGACTCGGATACGAGACTGAAACTTGGCATCACGTGACCACCTTGATGGTGAGGTAATCGGAGTACACTAACAATACAACGAACGACCTGTCGAGGTCTTGTGTATTGTTAGGTACAAAGCAAGTCGTTGATACTCATGAGTATAGACTAAACCGAACTGGGTCCCTTGCAAGAAGATGTACGCCTAAGCTCGGGCAGGACTGATCACCCTCCAAAACGAGAAGGTAAACATATGAGCATAGGGCGAGTCGGATTGGTTCCTGTGTATGAGTATATGCCTTTTGAGTATAAGGCGATAGGACTCATAGGCACATAATCGAGTTCCAAAGGGTGATGCCCGGACCTCGTGATTGGAAATTCCCGTTTGAGTCTGTCGTTATCTGAGATGTGCGTTCTTTCGTATTTCCGAGGACGAAAATATTTTAAGGAGGATAGATTGTAATGCCCCGTTTGAATTATGAATTTTGGAGAATTAATTATTATTATTATTATTATTATTATTATTATTTATCTTATATGTGGTTATTATTATTTGGTGAATGCTAAATTATTAATTGTCTAATATGATTTATTTGTAAAATTTCTTAATTGTCTAAGTATTGAATTGATTGCCTAAATGTTATTAGTTAATTAAAGTGTGTATTAGTATTTTTACTAATATTATTATTATTTTCTTAAAATTTAAATTGTGTATTATCAATATATATTATATATTTGGATTGTTTATTTAATTGTGCGAATTTATTTATCGAGCCCGAGAAATCTGTATTACTTCTACGTAGTCGGGCCCGGGAGCCGATACGTTTCATTGAACCGAACCCACGAGCCCGTTAATTCGGCCCAAATCCGAGCCCAACCAATTCGGCCCGCGTGTGTGTTAAGTATGTCTTGTGTGGCAAGACAATAACCCTAAGATAATTATTTTTTGTCGTTCGTTTTTCCTGAGAAAGCAGTAGCGCCGCAGCCTTTTTCTCTGTATCTTTCACCACGCGTTTTGAACAGATCAAAACCGATCCCAAAAACTCTCATCGTCTTCACCCTCGCAATCTCATCTCTCCCTCTCATCCTTTTCGCCTTCACCATCATCACAGCATCTCCATCCTCATCGTCCTCCCATCTCCCTCTCGCCATCGCTGCCTTCGTCTCAGGAGGTCCGGCGACCTCCTCCTGTAACACCACCGCGACCCTCCTCTGCGGCCAGTCACCCTTCCGGCGAGCCCTTCCCCCACCGCGACTGTAACTCCGGTGAACCTTCATAGCCGCTGGCGACCAACTTCCACCGCTCCCCTGTTCGCACAGCATCTACCGGCGAGTCCTTCTTCCTCACGAGATCACCGCCGCCGTCCTCCTTCACGCACGGAACTCAGCGGCGAGCCACCCTTCACGCTTCGCTGGCCACTCGCGGACGCCCACCATCTCCGGGCACCCTCCTCCGCCGCCTGCAACATCACCACCGCGAGCCCCCTCAGCAACTCGCGCCATGAGCGGCGACCTCGACGGATTCCGGCGACTCCCTCCCGTCGAGAACCAGCCTTTCCCAACCCCAGCAGCAGCGACGAAATTCTGCTCCGTCGCGAGCCTCCACGTGAACCAGCACCAGCGACGAGAAGTGAGTTCGTCACCTCTGCTGCCAGTCATCTCTCCGTCAATCGATTGCGGCCCGTAACCGAGCAGCGTCCCCCTCGATCACTCGATTTCCGGCGAGTCCTAACCGTGCTCCTCCTCTGGGAGCAACCACCGGCCTCGCTGCCCCTCTCCCGTTCGCTGCGAGTTCCTTCGGCGAAGTTCAGCGGCCCGTTTTCCGGTGATTCCCGAACGCAGCAACTGCTCCCGACGATCGAGCCGCCGCTGCTCCTTCTTGCTGCGAGACGAAGTTTGCCGTCGAGCCTGGAGCCGTCTTAGCGTGCCGTTCGTTCACCTTCGTTTTGTTTGAACGTTTATTCCCGAGAACGGTACAAGGCTTGACCAGTCTCATTACAATTTATGTGATATTTTATGTGTTCGATTATGTGAGTTGCTGAACGTATTTGTGTGACGTGTTATCCAAACCATATGTGCTAATATATGTTGATGGATTATTGTTAGATAAATAATTGTGAGGATGTTGAAGTATAATTGCAAATTTGATATCAAAGTGATTGCCGTCTCTTTGAATTATTGTTCGAACTGAATATATGTGGTTCATTTTGTGGAAATCCTGGATTTTTAGGTACTTGGAGTTCTCCTTGATATATTAGTTTTGGTTTGAGGTCGTTTCGAGTTATATATAAGGAGCTATAATTTTTCAAAACCGAGCATGCTGCTGAATCGTAATAAATTCACCATAAATCGAGTTGTTATCCGTTTGAGCTGAATTTTTGATATGTTGTGTCTCTATGTGGAACATTTGTGCCAAGATCCTGATTTTATCTTTGAGTTTTTGATGTTCAAATGCTTAAAACGGGTTTTGGTCAGAAAGTTGTAAAATTCACTAAAAATCGTACACTTGGAGTTTTGAGCTAAAACATTCTAGAACCTGATATTTTATAATTTTTTAGGTTGTGTAAAAATTTCAGACTGAAACTTGAAGTGTAGCTATACGAACTATTAAATGCTGTTTTTGGTGTTGTTTTTGCTTAAATCATTTAAAAATTTTCCCGGATGAATTTAGGGTTGAACTTGGTGAGTTTATGTGTTTTTATATGAATTATAATGTGGTAAAGTTTCAGGTTGAATGGCTGAGCCTAACTCCTGATTCTGAATTTTGTTTATTTTGAAGTCTTAATGTTCGGTTATCGGTTGGTTAGGTTCGGATAGGATTTATTTAATGTTGGCATGTTTTATGTGAAATATTTGAGGTATATGAGTTGTGTTCAGGTCTAGTAGTCACTCCAAAGTACTTAACTCGGTCAAGGAATCCACGAGTCGCTTAGTCGATATGATTTCGACTAAGTATATGTGCCTTGTGTGGTATTGTATATTGGATAGTCAGTGATAGGCTATTATAATTGTTGTAGGTTCGTCAAGCTGAACTTGTGCCATAATTCCTTCAACTCTGTGTTTGGCTATACCTCTTGCTATATCCAGGTAGGTTATTCAAAATTTCCTATGCATTAAATTCTTTATGAAAGTCGAATGGTATGATCAATGTATGCATGTGAACCTGTAACCTTCGATGTGTGCGGTTTCGACCTTCGAACGGTTATCCCCGTCGTCGTGTGCGGTTTCGACCTTCGACGGTGCCTAATGATAGGCAGTCTCCCTAGTCTAATGATAGGCAAGGCCGAGGGGAGTTGTACACACTTCGGTATTTACTCCCATTGTTGTGTGCGGTTTCGACCTTCAATGGCTAATGATAGATGTGCATATGAGTAAAATGTTATGAATAGAAGATGTGATATTTGAATGATTCGTGTTCATGCTGCGACCATGCTTAACTGTCTTTAATACATTATTTATTGCATAGCGGTGAGCACTACTTTTTCCAACTGTGCTCATCCCCACCTGATATTCACGTTTCAGGTTAAGCAAGGCGGGCACGACGGCAGGATGGCGAGTGGATGGTCATATTTGCATTATTTGCTTCCGCATTATTTTGAATAAGTTAACCCGAATTGATGAACTTGAGTTGTTTTTGGGTTATGAACATGATATTTTATTTCAGACCATGTCGTTTGAATTATGTTAGATTTGAACGTATGATTTGGTTCGTATTATTGAACTATGAATGAATATTCATGTCGAATGTGTTATTTGGATATCATGTGAACTGTTGGTTTTAGGACAATGAAGTCCATGTGAAAAACCGGGTAATGAATTCCCGTGAGGTTTCAAATATGAATTGAAATCAAGATAATGCCCTAATGATATGGATTTTGAAAATGAATTTCGTAAATGTTAACTTGATTTTTGAATAAGCCATGAATTATTTCTTAAATCCAAGTAGGGTGTTACAGCGATGATGCACAGCGAGAGAGAAGAAGAGGAGAACGATGGTGATCGGGATTTTCTGTTCTGATGATATCAAAGGCGAGAGAGAGAGAGATTGATGGAGAAGGACGATGGCGATGGATCAAGAGGGAGAGGGTTCTGCGGGGCGTGTTTCGACGGAGAGAAAGAGATAGAGAAGTTGCGGCGTTTTTGTTTTGACGAGAGAGAGAGGAGTGATTTAATTGACTAGGGTTTTTCTTCTTGGTCCTCAAGACACACACACACGGTTAGGGGGAAAACTAGGTCGGGCGGTGCAGTTCAACTGAGCCGGTACGCGCGCGTGGGTCTCGGGCCGGCTCTCGGGCTCGATTTACGATTTATATTATTAATGGCTCGACATACGGCTCGGGTCTCGGGCTCGACTTAGCCAATAAAAATGGCTCGGTTCGCTCACTCGACAATTAAAAATAAAACCGGATATAATATTTATTTAATACACACATTATTTAAAGATAATAATAATAATAATAATAGTAATAATAATAAAATATGCATTTAGGCAATTAATGACAATTTGGCATTTAATAATAATAGTAATAATAATAACAATTAAAATAAATATTAATAATAATAATAATAAATAATCCCAAAATATTCATAAACAAACGGGGCATTACAGTTTTTGCCCGAGTTGTACGCTTGTCGAGCGTAACCTTTTGTTTGCCGACGTGAACTAGTCGGTCTTCCATCATTATTATTTACACGTGGAATATAATTGCAGGGGGAGGAGCTTAGGGAGTTACCTCTTTTTATTTTTGAAGTACTTGCTTTAGATGAGGCCCCATTTGTGTCCGAGGTAAATGTGAAGACTTATTTGTCCCCCTGCCTTATCCAATTTGGATTTGCGGGTCTATCATCTTTTTCTTCGTCGTCAGGGAACACTTGAGGTCTCCCCTTGCGTTGGACGTCGGAGCCATAAGCGAATCTTTGGACTTGAGGATGTCCGATCAGCCTTAAGAGAGCTGACAGCAGGCTTAAACATTCTTCAGTGTTATGACCGACCGACTTATGATATGAGCAATACTTAGACTTATCAAGTCGGTCCTCAGGTATCTTCATTGGCCTGGGTTCTGGGATAATTCCTTTTCCCTTTAGCTCCTCAAAGATTGTTGCAGCTCCAGCAAAGTATATTGTCTGATAACTCGACTTTAAATCACTGAGTATATTTGGTTTTTGCTGCTCGCGATTCGGGATCATCAGTATTTCCCTTTGAGGAACCTCCGGATTGAGGTCTTCCCAATCTGTACCCAAAGTATTTGTTCTTTTCCTTCTTTTCTTCTGGCTCCGGCTTTGATTCTTTCGAAGAGAAATCAAAATTAAGAACACACATCGACTCCTCGGCTATAATGTGTTGTTGAGCTCAGGCCAGAAATTCTTGAAACGAATTCGGTTTGTTTTGGCAAAGTGTCCAGCAAAATAAAGAGTTCAGTTTAAACTGGCAATGGCTGCAACAAACAATGTTTCTGGGTGACATTGCTCCATATTCTGAACGCATTCATGGAATTCGGAAATATAGTCTTTGACAGTTTCATCGTCTTTTTGAACGATATTGGCAATTGACTCTTTTGAAATCAAACATACCTGAGCCCTGATAAAATGAGATCGGAATGCCGACCTCAGCAGTTGCCACTTCCAGATGGAGTGATGTGGTAGAGAATGATACCATTTTTAGCCCAAGGTCCCAAAGTTAGAGAAAACATATGACACCTCATCGCGTCGGTTGCTCCGTGTAGGTCCATCCATGAATTATATTGACCGAGATGAGCATCAGGATCGGAGGTCTCGTCATACACACCTATTTGTGGAACCTTAATTTTACCTGATAATGGCTCCATGGTAAGTATAGGGTCCAGAGGAGAATCTACCTCCAGATAAACATTGCCCGACATGGGAGCTCTTCGGGCGGATTCTTCTTGGACTTTCTGCCGAGATTCTAATTCGCCAATTCTCTTCCAAAGAATTCCTAGCTCTGCTGACTCTTGCTTAGAACGATTTCTTTCTATTATGTGGCGCAAGTCGGTTTGCCTGTCAGGATGTGGCGATGTCGGTCGCAGAGCTGCTGGACGCTGCTGATGATGGCCAGAATGATTTTTAGCTGTTATTTCTGGTAAATTGGCTTCTGGTTGATTCACCACCTGTTGATGGTTGACAATCGGAGGATTGCCATGACCTTGTGCAACGACTCCTTCTCTCTGTTGTGGCTCGTCACGAGGTTGCGAAGTTGCATGTAATGTGACAACATGTGCATGGTGTCCCTGTACCGGGGGTGTTGGTGGTCTTATAGGAACAACAGGTACCGTGAGTCGACCAGGAGCAGGTGCTGAAAGTCCTGGCAAGGTTTGAGCCATTAGAGCGGAGAAACCCCTCACAAACTCTGGGTTTTAGAACAGAGTTGTGAAATTAGGTACAACAGGTTGTGCAGCGGTTCTTCTAGCACACTGAGCAACTCTGCTATAACCAGTTTCTTGAGTTTGTCCTTGTTGCTCAAAGTGAGACATGATGAATATTCGATGGAAATTAAACGTAAGCTTGGTGACAAGTATGTGGCCTATGTATAAGCAATCAAAGATTAACCTCACATATGTTATGAGCCCTCCTTCTAGCGCCAAACTATTGTTGTATGAAATTTAACAAAGATGATAAACTGTAAAGCGGTGTAATTAAAACGTAAAAGATGTAAACTTTGTATTATTTCTGTGTTTTTGCTGAGTACAAGAGGTCGGTATTATGTAAAACCGAGCTGTGTTTGCATATGCGTGTTCAATGTACGAAAAAAGATCCCCCGTACAATAATAAATTCTGCTATTTATAGTACTATGTGTTTAACTTTTCGTACGGGGTAGATAGGATCGAATTTAATGTTAAGCAGCTTCATTGAAGCGGTCTGTAGGTCGATGAGGGGACAACAATGATTACATATGTAATATGTGGTCCAATCATATGGTGTGCTTTATCAGATGCTTTGGACTTTGGTCACCTCAGACCTCGGTTGGCAGATATAATCTTCAGGAAATAATCTTCGAGAAGTCGGTTGTTTGTCTTTAGTGCAAGGTCGGTTCACCGTCATAAGTGAGGTTAGTTTGTTCTTATACGTGAAGTAGGTTTGTTACTCTGTCTGTTCCGAGGTGAGCTAAGTTGGGCACGTAAAAGGACTTGAGTAACAAGCTGTGAGTAATACTTGTAAATCTCTTCTTTAATCTTGTCAAAATCAGGTGGGTTGTCAACATACACTTAGACAAATAAATAATGCACATAGCACACAATTCACTTAGGCACATAATCAATAGTCACTTAGGCACATAAATACAAATTAGGTACATAATTCACTTAAACATATAATTCGCATATATACACTTAGCATAAAAAGACTTAGGCAAATTAAATTAAACACGTAGCACATAACACAAATAAACACTTAGGCAAAAATTCAATTAAAAACAAATTACATAAATAAACACACAAAATACAATAAAGCATATAATTCACTTAAGCACACATAGCACTAAGAACAATTAAATAAAACAAGGGCATAAAAGAAGAAATAAGAATCGAGATTTAAACTAAGTCGAGCAATGGAATGAAATAAAGTGCTAAGCTATTAAAAAGAAACGGGACATTACAGATACTGTCATATACTTTTAGAAATTTTTAAGTTGTGTTTGATAAAGCATATAAGCTATAGTTTATAGCTGATTTGATTAGCTTATAAGCTTCATGTATTCAAATAAGCTTGGTTTGGTAGGACTAGCTTTAATTTTTTTAAATCTCGAGCTTATATCACAAGCTTTCTTTGAAGTCCATTGATTTTTTTTTTCAATTAGTAATTTTTACAAAACACTTCTATCATATAAGCTAACTTTTCAACCATAAGTCATATGCTATCAGCTATAATCTCGAAATTCACTTAAAAGCTATAACGTTTTGAAGCTGAATAGTGAAATCACAGTAGCCCCTCTTTATTTTATATGCATATAATGATTATATTGAGAATAATTTATGTTTTATCGTAATTAATGCAGGATGGTTTGAGTGATACGATACGAGTGTCCTTAACTGAGACTCCGGAAGAAGAGATTGATCCGTGTAGAAGATTGGCTAACCTTGGAATGAGAGCAGCCGAGCTCCAGATGGGAGTGGTAAGAAGAATATGCAGTCATAAAAAATTGCTATTATTTTGCTTCAAATTCCATTCTTGAATTCGCAAGAAATCAATAATTTCAGTAATTTGTTTGTTAATCAATATTTTCCATGCACCATTTGAAGAGAAGAACAGGCGGTACTTTGATTTCCAGCGTAGGAGTGGTCAATTGCCACTTCAAAAGGAGGTAAAAAAAGATATGATTTTTTTTTTCATACTTTGATTTCGTTTGACTAATTTTGAGTGATTTGGGCCTCGGTAAATAAAATAATGATTTTTTACTTGTTTCTAATACAGGGTGAGGAAGTTGATTATCGAGGTGTACTTCATCGTGATAGCTCGGTTTTGATGTCAGTTTCTCTGGATGAATTGAAGGTAAAAGATATGAGTTTTTTCATACACACGAAATTTGTTGCTTTTATTTTCTTGTTTTCCGTTATTTTAATTTTGAAAAACTGTACCTTTTTTCTCCCCTGCAGGCCCCTGAATTTCTGTACAAGTCTAGCTGCAAAACTTGTAGTTGGAATGCCATTTAAGGTATATACCCGAATGTCCTCAGTGAATTCAATTTTTTATTTTCTCTATTTTCTAGATTTTCAATCGAAGAAAGTTCAATACTAAACGCAGGATCTAGGGACCGTGCACTCGATCATATTGAGGGAGCTTCCACCAGAAAATGATATTGATAATTAAATTTATTCGTTCTTTCTTNTGAAAAAAAAAAAAAAAAAAATTAATCAATTTTACGGTATTAATTACCAGAGATTAGCCCTCAAATGGTTGACATCAGCATAGGAATTATCACTCCTTTATCCGAGCCGCTCACTCCCAATGCCCTTGTTTTAGTGGTGCTTACGATCTTCTTCCCCAAGGTATATATGAACATGCATTGCATATTTAAGATCTCGTTCGAATATCGTAATTCTAAGTCGATCGATTTTTTTTTAGGTACTCGTCAGGTAGTCTCTGTACGTGGTTAAGAGCCTCACGAGGAGCTGAAAATTCTGAAAAGCAGTGATGTTGTTATGATTCTTCACGACGTGCCGTATACAGAAGAGAATATTGGCAGAGTTCATGCTGCAAGAAGGTATATTTTTTTTCCCAAATTTTGTTTTATGTTTTTTTGTTTCTTTTAGGAATTTTCATGGAGATGTCTGACTTTGAGGATCTTGATGATTTGCAGGCTTTTCGGGAATCTTTCTGAGAACACGCTAGATTTTCCAGTTATTCATCACATACAATTTCCTAAGCAAACTCGCAGGTGAAAGTGAATCATCAACAATAATATAAAAAGAAAAAAGAAAAATCCGTTTATTGAGGTTGTGTTTGATAAGAATATAAGTTAGCATATAGCTTATTTCTTATCTCATAAGCTTCAATGAGTAGCTTTTCAAATAAGTTTATTTGAAATTTTTATTTAAGTTAGTTTTTAATTTTACCAAACAATTTTATCTAAGCTAGTTTTTCAGCCATAAGTCATAAGTTGTCAACTTGTAAGCTTGAAATTCACTTAAAAGCTATAAGCTAGCTTATCATTCAACTAGGTTTACTAAACATGTCCTGAATCAAGATTCATCGAGTCTTATCTTTTTATTTTTTTCCGCACATTCATAGGGACGATTTAGTCATTTTTTTTTTTGATCGTTAAATGTGATTATATACTATAGAATTGTCGATGACCGTCTAAATACAGCTTACAAAGGCGTAATGGGTAACCACAAGTCGGTTCCTCATTCGCAGGGGGAAGCCAATTACAAGTCAATTGGTGATTCAAATGCTACGAGATTCTAAGCGACTCGCGAGTTTTAGTCGCGACTCGCGGTCCAGTGTCGCTACTCGCGACAATTTCAGCAGCTATCGAGCGTTTTATGCCATAATGTCACGACTCGCGAGTCAATCCGCGACTCGCGAGACCATGTCGCGACTCGCGACCATGTGTCGCGAATCGCGACCATTTCTGAGGCTGTCAAGTGTTAGTGCCATATTGTCGCGACTCGCAAGAAACCTCGCGAGTCCTTGTCGCGACTCGCGAACATTTCTGGGGCTATCGCGTGAAAACGGATGAAGGCTCTGGTCTCGCGAAATTAAATCGCGCCTCGCGACTATAAGTCGCGACTCGGTGAATATCTCGCGACTCGCGACGTCAGTCGCGAGAAAAACTGAGGCCATGTGCCAGAACTGGATATGTCGCGACTCGCGAGATAATTCGCGAGTCGCGAGTCGCGTGTTACTGTCGCGAGTCGCGAGTATCTGGCCGCAGGCAGTTGAAATGTTTCAATTTCCACAAGTCATCGGCCTGCCTCTTTCCTTTGTCAATATATGAGCCATATCAACACTTCCCAACCAACCAGTCACGGAGGGCTAACGACCCCCTCAAATCCTCAACTTTCAAGTGTCCAGAGGGCCTCTTAAGACCTAGTATGTCTCTTTTCAAATTCAGTGAGCACATTCGGATAAGCGGCAAATATAGTCCGATAAACATGAGTTTTTACCTTGTGGATTAGAAGGCTCGGGCCATGATATTCATTTTCGAACACCAAACGATTTCTAGCGTTCCAAATGAAGTAGACTGTAGCCGCAAGCGCCGCTTTCTTCAATTTGGTTTGCCATCCACTCCCTTTTGCCTCCTTTTTGATCCATTTGAGGGATCCTTTTAGCGTAGACGGTTGGTGTCTAAGACTAATCCAAGAACGAATGTTCGCCCAAATCTCCATGCTAAAGGTACACTTGAAGAATAGGTGGTTCGAAGTTTCATTCTCCTCTCCACAGAGCGGGCATGTTGGGTCTTCCTCTAGGAACTCGAGACGATCTTTTGTTCGGAGCCTATTTAGCACCCCTAACCATAGTATGAAGGAGTGCTTGGGGGTATTACATGGTCCCCAAACAACCCCATTCCACGGCACCATGTTCCTCCTAGGTCTTAGGAATTCATAGCATTTGCCAGTCCCCTCTTGGCTTTCACGAGATTTCCAGCCTTTTAGAAGGGCTTCCGCACCCCGTTCGGTCCCCGCCATTCTCACCAATACTTGACGTATTTCAAAGAGGCTTTTGAAGAGAGGTGAGTCCCTCGTCCTCCTTTCCCAGTCCCAAATAGAGTTCCCTTTCAGATAGATATTGTGAATCCATTTGTGCCACAAGGTGTCCTTCTTAGCTTGCATGTTCCAAAGCGTCCGGGTGAGTAACGCTTGGTTCCATGCATTCAAGTCTCTAAGTCCCAGACCACCTTCCAACCTAGGTAAGCATAGGCTATCCCAAGCCACCGGCGCACTTTTTGAACCCCAAAGGAATCTTCTACATAGTTGGATAACTTTTGTTCGAACTATACCGGGCAATTGGAATATCTCCATCCAAAAACACAATATGCCTTGTATGACCGAGCGTAGGAGTTCTAGTCTTCCAGCATATGAGAGGGTGTGCCCATTCCATCTTCCCAGTTGCCTTTCTATTTGCGCAATCATATCGTCAAAGAGCCTTCCAGTAATTCGGTCCGAGGAAAGAGGGACACCAAGATATCGGAAGGGCATTGGGCCGTGTCTCAAGTTCGTGCCATTCAGGATTGTAGTTCGAATATCGTCCTTGATCCCAGCCAAATAGATATTAGATTTTAGCACGTTCATTGCAAGTCCCGACTTGGCTTCGAATTCCTTAAGACAATCCATGAGAATCTGAATTGATAAAGGGTCTTCGTGGGAAAGCAGCATGAGGTCATCGGCAAAGGCAAGGTGCGAGATTTTTAGGTCTTCGCACATCGGGTGATATTTGAAGTTCGAACCGTCCTTTGTGTTGTTCTTGATTAACCTAGTGAGATACTCCATACAAATCACAAAAAGGAAAGGTGATAGAGGATCACCTTGTCTTAGACCACGTGCGCCTTTAAAGTGGCCTTTAAGACTTCCGTTAATAGATAGTGAGTAGGATGGAGTGGTGACACACTCCAAAACCCATCTCGAAAAGTCCGGGGGGAAGCCGAGCCCGTCGAGCACTTGCTTCAAGAAGGACCAAGAAATTGAGTCGAATGCTTTGCGGAGGTCAATTTTGATAATACATCTCGGTGAGACTCGTTTTCTAGAGTAGAGACGAAGCAATTGCTGCATGAGATGGATGTTGTCCGTTATGCTCCTCCCTTTCACAAAAGCTGCTTGAGCCTCATCAATGATGGAGCCGAGGACATGTCTAACTCTATTAGCTAGGATTTTGGAGCATATCTTGTAAATCGTGTTACAACACGCAATTGGCCGAAAGTCCGAGACTTGCGAAGAGTGTAATGATTTCGGGATAAGCGTGAGGGCTGTATGGTTCCATTGCTTGAGGAGCATGCCCTTACGAAAGAACTCTTGTATGGCCTCTATGACATCAGCTCCAACGATGGACCAGCTTTTCAAAAAGAAAGTAGATGTATAACCGTCCGGTCCCGGGGATTTACCTCCATCAATGTCTCTTAGTGTGTTTTTGATTTCGTCCTCGGTAATCGGGGCGGTAAGAGCCCTACAGTCTTCGGCTCCTATACACGGTCCCGACCTTAGAATTTGTGGATCCACTACCTCCGTATCAATTTCGGTACCGAAGAGAGCCTCATAGTAGTGGATGAATTCCTTTGCAACTTCTTCCGTGGATTCGGTGACTGATCCGTCTTCTCGATTGATAGAGGCAATGAAGTTCCGTTTCGCTCGTTTTTTGACCATGCTATGGAAGAATTTGGTGCACTTATCTCCATTGATTTGAAAGTTGCATTTGGCCTTTTGTTGATAGAAGAGCTTCTCCGCTTTGGCCAACTTAAGAGCTTCAAATCGAAGCGAGTCCATCTTAGACATGGTTTCGGAGTCGTCGGGTTGATCGTGGAGCACTTGTTGAGCAGTTTCGAGAGCATTCTTCGCTTCTTTGGCCCTAGTAGAGATGTGTGAGAAGGCCTCCTCATTAAGTGCCTTAAGTGGGATCTTAAGGTTCTTTAATTTTGATGCAAGTTGGAATTGCCTCGAGCCCCCTCCTCCTTCATTCCAAATCTCTTGGACACTCGGTAAAAAGTTCTCATGATATGTCCACATGTTAAAGAATCTCCACGGTGATCCCGAGGTGCCTCGACCCTCAAATGTAGTAACTAAACAGGGGGAATGGTCGGAAATACCCGGTGCAAGAAAAGTCGCATGAGCGAATAGGTCGGCATTCTCCCATTGTGTATCCACCATAGCTCTATCCAGTTTCGACCAAACATGGTTGTTGGTCCAAGTGTGGAAAAAACCGCTCGAAGGTACATCCGACAGCCCTAATTCATCACAAACTTCTCGAAGGTCCATTGTGTCCCGGTTGGTGACCCTTTCGCCCCTCGTTCTCTCTTCCGGTTTTAGGATGGCATTGAAGTCTCCTAGGAGCATCCAAGGCATGGAGATCCTCCCCCGAGCAGACCTAAGGTCATTCCATAATAGTTTCCGATCCCCTCTCGTGTGGAGTCCATATATGAGGCTAGCAATAAACGAGTGATTGCTAACCTTACAATGGACTTTCGCTAAAATGACTTGAGGCAAGGTGGCTTCCACCGTGATGTCGACCTTCAAAGGGTTCCAAAGTAGTGCTATACGGCCTCGATCAACGACGTCAAAGTTGTCACAAAATTCCCACCCCGGCAATCTTCTATCCACAAAGAGTGCTAGTCTCCTAGCATCGGTTTTCATTTCCAAAAGACCCAAAAGGTCTATGTTATTTCTACGGATGAGGTTGATCACCTCATCTTGCTTTAGGGGCCCATTAAAGCCCCTAATATTCCATGAGGCGATGATCATTGAGAAGAGGAGGGGTTTCCCCCTTTCTTCACATTAGAGCCCTTACCTCTTTCATTTCTCACACCCGGATTGCCTCTTGGATTGGATGCGGCGGTTTGGCTCGCGGCTCCACTTCGAGTGATTATCTTGTTGCGCTTACCCACTACTTGGAAGGAATCGTCTTCCTCCAGTGGGGCGGTAATGGTACGGGAGGAGGAGGAAGCGGTGTCCATAGCAATGGTACCCACACATTTCCTTGATTCGCCATTCTCCTCATTTGTTTCTTTCCTTTCATTCTCCTTAGGTTTGTCCGTGTCTCCACCTTTCAGTTGCACAGTGGTTTCCTGTTGTGTTGCCGCTTCCTTGGAGTTCATGGAGGCATCTGTCTTTGTTTGTTCGGCTTGGTGTTTACCGGATGGTTCCTTCTCCAGTGCTCCCACCTCCATTGATTTGTCTCCTCCCTTCTTGGCTTGTTGGATTTCCTTGTCTATTTTGTCTCTCCCTTTCTTGGAGGTTTGCATTGTCTCAGCTTCTACAATCTTTTCCTTTCCCTCGTCTTTCTTCTCACGATGGAGTTTGTACTTTCCACAGTTTGAAGTAGAGTGCCCAATGAACTTGCAAAAGTCGCAGTAATGAGGAACATATTCATACTCCACTTTTTGGTCAAATTGAAATTCTCCTTTTGAAGAGATGGGGACGCTAAGGACTCTCTCCTTTGAGAGGTCAAGTTCCACTAAAACCCGGGCGTAGTTGTGTCGGGCTCGTGTTGCCGTGAGCTTGTCGGTAGAGATAGGTTTGCCGACATGGGAAGCAATCTTGCTAAGTGCTGGTACTCCAACATTCCCCGGGAAGTAGGGGGAAGTTGATCCAAATGGGGACGGTTTTGATGTCGTCTTCCCCAAATTGGAACCAATTAGGGAGTTCTTTTAAAATGAGCCCCCTTCTGTAGACTGTGTATGGTCCTCCGTGGAGTACTTTCGCTCTATCCTCTTCGTTTTTGAATTTAATACAATCCACCCATTAACGTTGGGGACGTAGTCGTAACGAACACCCCATGAGTTGCAGAGATTTAATAAAGCCTCCTTACCCGGGTGTCTATGAGTGAAGTACCCAACTAGGCAATAACCCCATGCACTCGTTATGTCCAGTAAGTCTTCGTCGTCAAGCTTGACTCCATTGTCCGACGGAATGTATTCCAATTTAAGGCCTAGCGAGGCCTTGCGGTTATCAGCAAAAAGGGCCGAGAATGGTCTCTTTAATGGAACAGGTTTCCTTTGTGGTATTTTGTCGAGCACCTTTGGCTCAACATTTTCTGAGTTCGTAACAATCCTTTCTTTCAAATGACAATCATCCAAGACCTGCTCCTCAACTACCTTGTGCCTATCAACCGGTGTGGAAGAGCTAGGGATAGTCATCCTTACCTCATTTGCACAAGAATCACCATTTTTGACGGGTTTGGAGGATGAGGATGAAGCTTGCGTTTCAGCTAGCTCTTCCTCCGAGTCTTGAAGGAAGCCATCTTCCAGATCTTTGTTTTGACCGAAGCATTCCTCCTCTGTCAATTTCCGGTAACGTAGCTTGTTCTTTGATTTCCCCATTTGTGCTATTGTTCTTGGATACGCATTTATTTTCTTGTTGCTCCAAGAAGAAGGCGCCGAGGGGTTCCTCGGGAGAGAGTTTTCCTTCTCTCTGACCTTCTTCTTCTTCTCCAAGAACAATGGCTTAATCAAATCCTAAACAATTCGCAGCTTGAGGGACCGCACCTTGAGGGACGACCTGAGAATTGAGTTGGAGACTTAAGAGATCGCTGCTTTTCCGACAGTGGGCGAAGGCGGTGGAGGTAGCTCCACTTTCACCATTAATTACTGTAAAGGCTTGACAGTGGGACGATTTAGTCATTGATACCAGGACAAATGCAGGAGCCCTTTTGGTCGATGGACTTGGAGATGGTATCCTATTGGATTCCCCAGATCAAGACTTTGAAATCCTCCGAAACACGTCTTTCAATTTGCTGCAAGGCTGCAGAATGAGAAATACAAAGACGGTAAGAGTACTAAGGCTTTCCGAAATTACGTACAAATTATTACTACTACGACCATTCTGGTTTCTTGACATTATGTGTGGAACGAAGTGATATATTGCCAGGAATACGTGTCGTGCCCTTCGTGTGGAAGATCTTTGTTCGATCATCAAGAGATTAGTGCTGAAATTAGAAAAAAGACTTCTCATTTGCCTGGTGTTTCGGTATTTTTTTTTTTTACCAGTCTCGAATGATTGGTTCGTTCGCCTTGAAAAAATTAGTCTTGAGATATGGCGTATCCTTTTTTATATTTAGTGCAGATTGCTATTATGGGTTGCATTGTGAATGGACTGGGAGAAATGGTCGATGCTAATTTCGGTTATGTTGTTGGTGCTCCTGGCAAAATTGACCTGTGTGTGTGTGTTGGGCATCGTTTACAATTCAAACCACATATGCATTGACATTTTAGAAGGAAAAACGAGAAGCACGAAACATTTTTATTGAACACGCGTGAAAAATTGCATTCGATTGATAAAAATTTGCGTTTGAGTGATAAAACTACTTCTAGTACTAACTAGAATAATGCTGTTGATGTCTCATGTAATGGGCTCGTACGATGAATCTTGTGGAGTGTCAGACGATGGTGCAAAGAGGCATTGCCATGGAATATGCGACCGATGCTTTGATTCAGCAAATCAAAGATCACAGCCGTTGGGTCGACCCGCCTGTCGAAGAATGATTCGGTTTTTGGAAAAGAAAAAGATAGAAAAAACACACACACACACACACATTTACTATTGTTTGTATCTTGTGTAATGAACCTATGGAGCTCATAACAACAACATAGATAATAAGTGCAGAAAAGGAAATTTGCTTCATCCATTTCTTGAGATTTTAATATATATAATATACAATCCTTTTTCCTTTCCTTGATCAGGTTTAATTGAGCACTTTCTTATGTTGAAGTATTTTTTGCGAAGTATTTTACCTGTTATGCTTGTATGTTTTAATAAGGATGTACTTTGACATAACCACAGATGGTGAAATAATGATTCTTGAGTATTTATCACAAAGAAAATAGGAATGGAGAAAAAATAAAACTCAGACACAGTAACAATACTCCCATGGTGCAATTATTTTGTTACACTTACTGATGCAACTCAAGCCAATTTATGTACAAAGTTCTTAGACATAACATGATATTGAGAGAGGGGGAAAAAACTACTTAGAGTTAAAAGTAAATGATTAAGGCTGTGTTAATCAAATTTATGTTCTTTGATTTGTCACATAAACTTTAAACTGGCATTTAAAATGAAATTGAGGGAGCAATATTTGCTTGGATATAAATCAAATAAGTTTTGATTGGTTTGAAATGAATTTTTCGGTTAACCAAACTTAATTTTGAAAAAGTTAAATGGGTTAGATTTATGTAAAATTTTGAGTTTGCACTAAAATAATATTTAAAATAAAATGAGTAAAGTTGATTTAATACAAAAGTAAGAGATATCTATATATATATATATATATATATATATATAGGGAGTGGTTCAAATAAAAACCTATTCTAGTGTGAGAACCGTGAGAACCATATTTGATGCAATTTTTAATTGTGTATGATGCTATTTTTAATCTTACATGGTGCTATCATTTTTACAAATGCTAACATAAATTGTGTTGCTATTTTTAATAAAATACATCCTAATTAAAAATAGCACTAAATACAATCAATCGTAGCACTACAGGCAATTAAAAATAGCGGTTCTCACGGTTCTCACGCTAGGACTTATATATATATATATATATATATGTAGGGTCGCGCTCACATGAGAATGGTGCTTAATGAAAGAAACGAGAATAAATCATTCGATCTAATGGTTAATAAAAAAAGTCAAATTTATACCTTCATTAAAGGTGTTGTGGTAATTTTACACACCACCAACATAGATGGACCCCACCCTACATTAAATATCCAGCCAATTAATTGACAACTATCAAATTGTCACACCAATCCACCCAACCCCAAGCCCACCCAGCCCCACGCCA